CTTTTATGTTTTATGTTCAACATAAGAAAGCAACTCATACAGGTTTGGAACGACATGAGGGTGAGTAAATGAATTGTCATTTTATTAACTATTTAACTTTTATTAGGGTAAAAAAAAAACAGGAGGACATGATGATATTTACTATTTTTACACACCAGAGGCTTTTAAATGAATTGTGCATCTAAAATATGCGTGTTAGAGAATGTACAAATGGTTAACATTGTTTGTGTCATCAGTCAGAAAAGCAGTTCTGGGCTTTTTTTTTTTTAGCTAACTCAGTTGTTATTCTTGGCTGAAAAGAATAAATATAGGATACAATATATAGGAAATAAATACAGGGCTCTACAGTGCGACCATTTCAGTCGCATCTGCGACTGAAAACTACTGCGTGCTCACAGCTCAGCCGCTGCACATCTCCATTCAAACACAGCGGTGTCTTGTTTATGAATGAACTTTTTTTTTTTTTAATGAACCTAGTGAGTCAGTGATTCATGATTACCCATTCATAAAGACAGTCACTTGATTCATTCCTGAATGAATCAGCCGTTCGAATGAATCAATTGAATGAATGATTCAGTGATAAAAATCAGTGACTTACCACCACCTGCTGGCAGTTTGTTTCATTTTAAAAGTATCTTTTCAGTTATTTAAATCATTTAATATTTCTATATTCAAAATGTTATATTTAAAACATTAATATCATCATGAATTTATGGATTTAATTGCACTCATTCCACTTCTGAGCCTCATTAAATGTCTGAAAGTACACCAAGCCACTTTTGTGTTCTTCTGTGCCACACTCTACAAATTAATTTTTATTAATACTGATTTAATTTGATTGGAATTGTTTAGAAGGTGCTCCTAAAATTTTGAACGTGCGCCTACATTTTTTAAGTTAGGAGCACAAGTGCTCCTAAAAAGAAAAGTAAGTGTAGAGCCCTGAAATATGTACACAGTTTGGATTAAATGTAAGTATAGTAAAAAATTTTAATTAGCATGTTTTTGTGTTTTGCTTTGGTACCGAGAACCGTGGACTTTCACTGGTATTGGTACCGAATACTGACATTTTGGTACTGTGACAGCACTACCTGTATGTGTTTAAAAAACATGAGGGAGAATAAAATATAAAGTTCTTGCTTGAATGGGTGTCGTTTCTTACCTTGTGGATGAAGTTTTCTATTTTGGTTTGCAGGCCCCACCACTTGAACTTGACGGTGACTAGTTTGTACGCACACATACGAGGGGCATCTGGCTTAGCCAAGAGCTCTTTCTGTTCAGGGAGAAATCACACATGGGCTTTATATGGAACTGAATTAACAGGGAACAAAAATCTCTGATAAATTAACTAATATAATACAGCCACTCACCTTCCAGTCCGGTCCTAAAGGTCCCCGGCCTGTTTTCTCTGATTGAAAGATTGCTGGGTCCTCTTCCTGTTTATAATCCTGAGAGAACAACAACTGGGTCACATGTGTTTTCTTTATGGTTAATATTTCTCCACATTGTCTTGGTCAAGTCATCTTAGATGTAATTCCAGAGATGGATATTTTATTTTGATTAAAAAAAAATCTATAAATCAAAACATTTTAATTTATCACCAATTACCAGGAACATTCAGAAAGTAAAAATGGTCAATTTTGATTTCATGTTATCAGTGTTGTCAACTACTCAAAGTAGCTAAAGCCTGCTTAAACAGTTGCTAGATGACGCCATGCACTAATTAACATTATACCATATTTGAATATGAAATATATATATATATATATATATATATATATATAACAAAAATACAAACTTTTGACCAGTAGTGTGCATGTGAAGTGATCCCTCAAGAGTCACAAGACTTCTTGTGTAGTTAGTTTTGTGTGTGTGTGTATGTGTGTGTGAGAGAAGAGAAATACATGAATAAATGAATAAATAAAATAAAGTGCTAAATGATTCTTTAAGAGAGTCACTAGATTTATGGTGAGATTAAAATAGTTCAAAAGTCTGGGGTCAGTAAGATTATTTTTAATGTAAATTTCATATACTATAAATCATAATGATCACTCAGAGAGTTGCTTGATTTGTCAATAGGTGCTTTTTGAAAAAAATAAGTTGCTAAAGGTGTCTGAAAAGGTAACAATACGTTATCTTAAAAAACACCTTCCCACCACCTTCAGTTTGGGAATTCCCATCATTTCCGTCTTTTCACACTGGTGCGCACACTTGCGCGCTACCTTTTAATCTCTCAAACCTCGGTGCTGAGTACCGTGAACATATGGGAATAAAGATTAACCTGAACCAGGACTGATCCACTTAACTAATTAAAGATATGAAGCATAAAAGCGCTGGGGCCTGGGAGGAGCAGTCACTTCAGCGACCCTCTACAGTGAGCAGGTCAGCATGAGATGAAGAGGAGCAGATAACCAACACACTCCTGCTAGTCAACAAACCACGACTCTGGACTCCAGTCAAACAGACACAGCTGTATTTATGCACTCGGCACAGAGCCAGAATGAGGTCACATGGAAACGCATTTGGATTTATTCAAAGCAGCTGATGTTTGACGCAGTGTGCGTGTCTGCTTGTACACGGCACCGGCAGCTAGTTTGTTTGATCTTGAGGCTTGAGTTTTTAGCAGCGATGTCTACAGCTTCAAACAGACCAGATTGTGCAGTAAACTCTGCCGCTTACAGCAGGTTCAGGTCTCCCTGCTGTAGATAAAGATAAGAAGAAGCCTTCTTGGTAAACTATTGAACCTCGAGTAATGCAGGTTAAAAGGGCAATGGTCCACACGCTCTAATGTCATGTCACCCTAATCCAGTTTTATGTAACACGCCGGCTAAAGGCTGAATCACAAGTCACACACTAGCCAGCCTAAATAGCATGCGGGATAAGGATTAGCACGTCCCAAATCACAGCACACTGGAAACAGTTGGCTAAAAGTGCTATTTCTTGTGGATTTTTAATGTCCATGTTTTTAGGCTACCATTGACTCTAAATTTGTGTGCTACAGGAGGAGGAATTTGTGACGTTGTAATTTGTTTGTATGAACCTAATCAATAATGAAATTAATTTAGATACACTAATACTTACATGCAAACAAACAGCATGCAACAAAGGGGTTTGTTGTATTAAGACAATTTTATGACATGATGTCTTGCTACAAAGTACATGCACTACTGTTTAAAAGTTTGGGGTCAGCAAGATTTTTTATGTTTTTGAGTTTCTTCTGCTCACCAAGACTTCATTTATTTGATTAAAAAAATGAGTGAAAACAGTAAAATTGTGAAATATTATTACTATTTAAAATAACTGTTTTCTATTTGAATGTATTGTAAAATCTAATCCTTCGGACATCATTCGAATATGCTGATTTGCTGCTCAATAAATATATTTTCATATATATTTTGTAACATTTTAAATGTCTTTACTGACACTTCAATTTAATGCATACTTAATTTCTTTCAAAAACAAAACAAAAAATCTTACTGACCTCAAACTTTTTGTGCAGGGAATATTACATAAAACACAATATTAAACTAAGTGGATAAATCAGATTTTGCCAGTTTGAGATTATCTGCATCAGCCGATAAGCATTTACGCATGAGCAATTAACACAAGCACAATGGTTGAACACTAAATGAGTCTCAAATAGTTCCAATGGTCTCATTTAATGCATGATTTTATCCAAAAAGGACTCACAAATGAGGAACATCACACCAAAACCTCAAATGCAAAAACAGCTTAATGCACTTGCAGCAGAGGGTGGGGTTATGCAAATTAGTTGCCACTCGTTGGATATCAACAGTCCATTTTTGAATGCCAGCTGACCACAAGGTGACCAGCAGGAATGGACTATAAGCTTTATATTCAAAATGGGTATTGCTACTAAAAGGCACAAAGAATGTGTGCAAATGAGATCAGAACATTTGTAGACTGATGTAAAGTGAACTCACTCCAGGTTCAACGTGAGACCGATCGGCTATATCGATATGTACGACTTCGACCGTCTTCCATGTGGTGGGATCCAGATCATGTACCTGCAATTGGGCACAAACAAACACAAAAAACATATCAGCTTGAGCATGAGATTACAGATGCATTCAAAACATCACAAAAACAAAGAAACGTCTCACTCACATTCTCTAAAGAGCCCGTGTCAGGTTTGTGCCATGTTTCAATTTTAATCATGAAGTCATCTTTCATGTATTCGTTCTGAGGAGAAGATACAGTGTTGTTTACATTCATGAAATGCGGTTTTATCACAAACAGCAGCATAAGTTCACTTTAAAATGTGGTTTAACAGCGCATGCAATGCAAGTATGTTTCTAAAGGGTAATCTGAGGTCCAACAAGTTTAGAGCCGTCCAAACCGCATGTTTTTAAACTGGCTTTAATGCTGGAGGGAACGAGTTCCTAGAAAACAGGAAGTAAATAGGCTGTACTCCAAGTTCTAGGTAAACTGGCGTTATGATTGGTGTGCTGAACTAAAATAAACACACATACAGTGGTCCCAAAACATATTCAGACACTTGAAGGAATAGTTCAGCCAAAAATGAAAACTTGCTAAAAATGTCCTCACCCTCGGGCCATCCAAGATGTAGATGAGTTTGTTTGTTCATGGGAACAGATTTGGAGAAATTTGGCATTACATCACTTGCTCAACAATGGATCGTCTGCAGTGAATGGGTGCCGTCAGAATGAGAGTCCAAACAGCTGATAAAAACATCACAATAATCCACACCACTCCAGTCCATCAGTTAACATCTTGGAAACCAAAAAGTTTTAATTTGAAACATCACTTCTGACCAAAAAATGAGTCCATAATCCATAACACCACTTCCTCCAGTGATAAAGTCCACCTCCTGTTGTCCTCTCACATCAAAATCTACACACATATTTGTTTAGAGCTGTTTGGGACTGTTTTCACTTATAAACGGTGTTTGATCTGTGCATATTTCTCTCCTAATTCAGACGAGAAAACTTGTTCTTTGAAGAAAGCAATATTATGGATAGAGGACTCATATTTTAGCCAGAAGCAATAGTTTGAAGTTAAAAAAAAGTATTAATGATGGATTTCTTTCTAACAAAGATGCAGCTTTTGGCTTCAGAAGACATTAATTGATGGACTGGAGTGGTGTGGGTTACTTGTGGATTATTGTGATGTTTTTATCAGCTGTTTGGACTCTCATTCTGACGGCACCCATTCACTGCAGAGCATCCATTGGTGAGCAAGTGATGCAATGCTACATTTCTCCAAATGTGCTCCAGTGAAGAAACAAACTCATCTACATCTTGAATGGCCTGAGGGTGAGTACATCTTCAGCAAATTTTCTTTTTTGGCTGGACTATTCCTTTAAGCCACACTTAGAAGTATGAGTGACAAAATAATTATTTATCAAACAGAAAGATGGCACACGTGCACTTTGCAAACAAAAGTTTTGACAAAAACAAGTCACAAGAAACTATAAAGACATGCAAATACAGACACTTAATCTGATGCAATGACATTCACACACTTACAAGCATGTCTGAATAGTTTTTAAAAGTCACTGTGTCAATTCACATGCTAAGAATCAAATAATGTGACTCGATCAAAAACAACTTTTACAAACTGCAGGCACTTCATAGTAAATGATCATGCACTAAAGTTTAGTGTACAGTCATAATGACAGCTAGTGTTCATACTTACAGTCACAACTGAGGAGAATGGAGCAGCATGCAAAAATAAAAGAAGAAAAATAATCAGGTGACACAAATAAACCATTCATATTTCCACTGTCAAAACAGACCAAAACAAATGAGGCCCGAAACATACTCGGAGTTCATGAATGCAAACCGTTACAGCCACGAAATATGTCAGAGGTCAATTCATAATGCAAGTCAAGTATGTACAGCCTTCTTAGTGTATCAGACACTACGGGTCTCAGTCATTTAACCAACTTAATGTTGGCTAAAAACAACAGGGTTTAGCTAGGCATGCTTTGGTTGAGTATTCATGTCTGTGTTTGCATACTTGCCGAGTATGTTTCCGGCCTAATTCTTTACCAAACGGCACATGTGAGAACTTCGTGAAACAATCAAAAAACATTGTACACACATGACATCTGTGCCAATATGTAATTCATTACATATTGTCGTATGCAATAAAAACATAATAGTGACGGACTGTGTGGTATAACGGATGAAAAGGTTTCCAACTCACTCGTGCGGCAGTATGGATAAGCATTCCAAGCCTTTTCATGGAAAACTAATGCCCCCTCTGGTGCGATCATCTTCACAAAGCCTGGCACTTTACTGGATGAATGCAAAACACAAGAGTAATGAAGCAAAGCCGGAGTAATTATTTACAGCTTCGCGTTAAGTTGAATGGCTTGCCGTCTGATAATATGCTGCAAAACACTTGAGATGCGTCACATCTGACAATACTAAACCGTAGGTGGTGTTAGTATCAAGAATTAAAAAACAAGTCTGCAATTACAGAAAATTACTAACTTGACAAAACTATTAAAGTATAACTATTACAGAATAAAACGACCCATTTTTACCTCTTTAAGTGGTAGATTTTGTGTGTGTATTGTCCCTTCTCGCCTTCCTTCTCATAGGGTTCATTCTTGAGCACTTCAATGCCTTCTCCTCCACCCGTCTCGTTTTTACTGGCCTCAGCCACCGAGAAAAGCTGCCCGACTTGATACTGCAATGGCAGAGAGAAAAAGGTGAGGTTTGATAGATCAGATGGTAAGAGATGGTATAACCACACTTAAAATTCAATACCAAATCAAAGGTGACTATTGACCTATGAACCCTATGAAATAAAAAAACTGGAGTTTAGTCCAGGTCTATTATAGTTAACTAAAACTGAAACCATAAAAAAGTTGTTCCTTAGTGTTATTTTAGTATCATTGAGATAACACTTTTTAATTTATAGTTTTCTTTAATATTTTGAATGTTTTTATATATATTTCGACTTTAAAGTTTTAGTAATTTTGTTCTGTGTTTGTCATTTTTAGTAGCTTCTGTTTTTTCTATACTTTTTAAGTCATTTTTATTACATTTATCTTAGTACAAGTCAAACTAAATTAAAATGAGAAATGTTGCCTTGACAACTAGCTGAAATAATTTTTTATATTTGTATTATATTATTTATTATATTCAATTATATGAATATTTATATAAACGTTTATTTTATTTCAAGTAATGATTTGTTTTTTAATTTTAGTTCCAGGTTAATTATAATAACCCTGGTTATCTGAAATAAAATATACATTAACTAACACAAAATAAAAAAATGTAAAAAAAAAAATTAAGCTAGCTGCCAAGGCAACATTTTTATTTAGTTTAATTTGATGTACTAAAACAATTTAAAAATAGAAACTATATAGAAAAAGTACAGATGAACAAAATACTAAAATGACAAAAACAAACACACACACACAAAAAGTTTAAAATTAAAATGAGAAATATAAAAAACTAATTCAGAATATGAAAAAAAAAACTATAATAGTATCTCTCTGAAACTAAAATAATTTTGGTTTCGTCCGTGTCTTTGAGGTCATCTTTATGCTAGTGCACTCCTAAAAAGTCCTCTTGGAAAATAGATATTAATCTTAAAAGAAGTTTTTAAAAAAAAATGTATTTTATCTTATCTCTTAAAATTAGTACTAGTGGATCTCACATGCATGAATACACAAACCCTACAGACTTCATATAGGAAACGCACTCAGATCAGCGTCTGTGGAATTAAACAGCTCTCGTATAATTAAAATACGTCCCTTCCAGCAGTTCCAGATATGAAGACAAAGCTTTGCATTGTGTGACTGATTGATGCCTTAGAGGGACATTATAGTAAAACCACTTTTACAAAGGCAAACAGGGAACTGATGTAGATATATGCATGAATAGTTAAGCTAGGCTTTGGACCAGGGTTATTATAGGTAACTAAAACCATAAAAAAATATGTTAGTTTAACTTGATGTACTAAAACTAATGCTGAAATAAAAGCTATATAGAAGGGTTATTACAGTTAACCGAAATTAAAGCTGACACTAAAATTAAAACCATTAAAAATGTCTCTTGAAATAAAATGAACTGAAATAAATGAACTGAAAAAAAAACAACACATTTAAATAAATATTTATATTGAAATGTTTTAAATAATTATTTCAACTATTTGCAAAGGCAACGTATTTAATTTTTAATTAAACTTAATGTACTAAAATATAACTAAAATTAAATAACTGTAATTACAGATTTAGGTTAAATAAAGATGTCAGTCTTTATTTTTCTTCTTTTTAGGAAACAAATCGAAGAAAAAATAAACAAATTTTACTGTTCCTAATATTCTGTGTTGCTCAAAAATTAAATATATTGTGTTCAGCGGAAAACATTTTTTTTTTTTACCCAGTCATTTAAAAATAACACATTTTAGAGCTGTAACAACAATACCGTGATACCGTGATATTTTTGCTTAAGGTTATCGTACCATCAAAATCTCATACCGGCCCATGCCTAATTCACACATAGTGTTCAAATCTGTAATAGATTTGTAGATTTGTATCATGGGATCTGAAATATTTTCTAATGTTTTAAAAGAATTCTCTTCTGCTCAGCAAGGCTGCATTTATTTGTACAGTAAAAAAATACATGCCTGATTCAAGAAGGGGGTCTCAAAAATTACCAATAAAAATTATTTTACTAACTTATTCATTTTAAGTTAAATTGTGCTTTGTTGGTATAATGTCTGCTAGAATGTTAAAAAATGTTCAGTGC